CATTAACAAAACCCCTGAAAGTTGGGGGGGGGGGGAGGGGGGGGGCGCATGAAAAATGGAAATGATAGAAAAGAGTTGTCTGGAAAAAAGGAAATTCACAAGTTTCCAACCTCTCCTCTCCTGTTTTCCAATCAACTCAACAGTACACACAGCACCAGCAAAATGAGTTCCTGCTACAGGTTTGTTTTAGAGGAATGGCTCAGAAATGCACAGTTCATATTTTGGAAATACAAGACCACAAAATGATGTGGTGTTTAGAAAAAGGTAGGAAGAATGGAACTTCTGGTTTTGGATCTGGAGGGAGTCCCTTTGGCCAGAACAGTGCCCTTTACCTTTAAAACCTGTACAAGGTTTACCGTTTAACACAGTTAGCTCACATCCACACAGCAAACTCACAATGTGTGGCAGCAGTGCCCTCAAGCCCGACAGCCTGCCCTCAAAACCGAAGCAGTATAGTTGCATCTGCCACGCTCTTCATGTGCCTTAATTAGCACTGCTGAGTGACAGATGGTTGGCCTGCCCTTGAGCTCATTACCCAGACCTAGTGGGTTGACCTGACAAGACTGCTTCTAGACCTGAAGGCAGTCTGTGCAGAGCAGCATCACATGCTTAAGGGAACAGTAAGATTACCATGAAGATATGACCCTAGAGACTTGTACGGATCTTCCCCTACATGACAAGAGAACAAGATGAACCACATCAACAGGAACATGATCAAAGACAGTCTTCATGTAGCTTGCATAAAGTGGCTTTACAGCAGCCAGAGAGGGCCACTGGAGAATACTCTCTGTTCAGGCAATGATAGCCTCTGGGGCCTGTCATCCCCACCACCTTATAAAAGGAAGGAGGGAGCATATCAACTGGCATGCCAAGTGTGGGAAGAGACATAGCATAGCGGGGACATAAGTTGGGGCTTCCCTTGAGCACTGGATGGAGTGACAGTGAACCAGGGAGTACTATGAGTTCCCTAAAACCCTCCTTCCTCACTCCAACCAAGGCAGGGTCAAGCCAATAGAGACTGCAATGTCAGCTACCAGCAGAGTTCACCTAGACATTCAGAACTGTGAATTAATGGACGGACTGATTTGTCGCTGTCTGCTGAGAGAAGACAACTAGTCCCTGCCAGGTCATTAAATGAAGCACTGTGCTACTTATGAGCATTACTGGCATCACAGTCAAGTACAGGGAACTACAATGACTAGTTTCTGATCGCTGCTCCACAGCCATTACAAGCCCACTAAAAATCCATTACCCCAACATTAAATCTTTTCACTTGCACTATGCAGCGTGCCCTGTTCTAGATGAAGAAGCTCCCCCTTACCTCATCCTCAGTCATTTTGGCTTCCTTTGCATCACTGCTTTCATTAGCAGCAGTAGGAGCCGCCTCTTGGTCTTTGTTAGCTTTCTTTGTTTTATTCTTATCACTTTGCTTGTGTCTGGAGCCCTCAGACCCCTTGCTGGGCTTCTGTTCAGAGATGTCCTCCTTCACTGGTTCCTCACAGTGAGAATGCTTGCGCTCTTTCAATCTCGCATCTTCCTTTCTTTTAGGCTTTGCTGGTGCATCCTGCAGCTGCTTCTGATGCCTATCAGATTTTGGCTTGGATGATTTTCTGTAATAATCATCGTCCCTGCTCTTGTAGCTGGGCGAACCACCCCTTAAATATTTGTCTCTGTGCCCTCTGCCTCCTTCAGTCCGTTCATCCAAGTCGAGCTTGTCCAGCTGCCGTGCATAATGTTTTCTCTCATGTACCCATGCATCAGTCCTGTCCCTTTTCTCCTCTCCATTCTCTCTCCAGGGTGCTGTCTCTCTCTCTTCTTCTCTTCTGGAATAAGGGGACTGATCCCACGACTCTCTTCCATTTCCCCAGTCTGCCTTGACAGTGCCCAACGGACTGCGGGGTGAGCTGCAGGAAGTAAAGCTTGGTGTGTGGGATCTTGGCGACAGGGAGTGGCTGATGGGGCTGCGAGATCGTGGCCTCTCTGGTCCATACCTGCAGCAGAAGGCAATAAGCAAATAACTAGGTTTGTCTGGAGGAACTGCAGGAAGGCAGTAGCCCATTTTGAAAAAGCCACAGTGACTCCTGTACTTGCATGGTGGAGCCCCCCACTTTAAAACTGCACTGATTAATTTTGTGCAGGCTGTCATTTATACATACGCTGCAGGCTTGTGTGTGTCGGCAGGTGATGATTAATACTGCACTGACCTTCACATCACACAGAATCTATCGGGAAGGAATGTACTTAAAAGAATATAATTAAAAGGTCCTGTTTTCTGAAGCCAGTGACTTACTTAACACCCTGAGCTGACAGACTGTTTGTTCATGCACCCCTGGTATCAGTGAGGTGATAAAAGTGGCACATCTACCTTGGATTTACAAGTTTTAAGGATCCTTAATTCTGTGACTATCCCTCCACTTCAGCTGCAAGGCCCATAAATATAAGTAATGGGAAACAGCCAGAAAAACAAGAGAAATGCACTGAAATACATTTTTATCTCAAGTGGCTCCTTCCTCTGGCTCTTCTAAGCGCATCGAGACTGTCTATCTATTTTCACTGGTAGTTAGGTTCAACCGTAAGGGTTTCTTCAAGCTCACGCATGCCACATCTACATTATAAACCTCTGAGACCATCCCTGGGGGAGCAGTCCAACCTCATCCTGGAAGCTGTGCTGAACTCCTGGGTATGAGGTCATCTCTGCTGCCACTCATCTCCTAGCTCATCCCTCTCTGCAGTGTGTGTGTGTGTGTGTGTGCGTGTGCGTGTGCGTGTGCGTGTGTGTCTTCTGGTCATCCTACACTCCCCTTCCTTTCATGACTGGCTGTAAGTAGAGACAAATTTGATTTGTACCTGATTCCTTGAAGGGTTCTGCTTTCTGTCATGCAAGGAAACCTGGGATATACATCTCAGTGCCACTGAGTCCAGAAGTAAGAAGCACAGTGTAGAAAGCTTTGGTGCAAGCTACAAGACCTGATGGTAGCAGGGAAGGCTGGCTGATGCCAACCTAAGCATAACACTAAGCATCAGTGCTGACATACCTTCAGGTTGTAGGGGAATGTCTTGATGTTTGCATCTCAGATGCCATGCACGTAATCAATGCTCAGTAAATAATTATTAATAAAACATTTATTTTATTTATAACAAGCACCCTCTTTCCAATTGCATCCTATTTGTTAGGCTGTGTGCTTTAACACAGTGTTTCTCAACCCACGAGTCATGACCCAAAAATAGGTTGCAAGAATATATGGAAGGGGTGCAAAGAAACTTTAAAGGAGACTCCATTTTTAAAGGAGAAAAATGTGGGAAATGGAAGGTTCCCCTTGCAGGCTGGCAAAGTTCCAGCCTGCAAGGGGCTGCTTGGGGCTGGGGGGAGCACGAAGAGGGTGATCAGGCAGGGGGTGCCACGTGCACATTTATGTGGCAGCCAGGCAGTGTAGAGAGCAGCCCCCACAGCTCCCTGCAGGTAAGTCTATGGGATAGGGGTGAAGGGGGCACAGGCCCAGATTTGTGCACCCACAGCAATCATGAGGATGCAGCCTGGCCAGACTGGCATGGGCAGAAGCCACCTCTGCAGCCTAGCAGCCAGGACCCAGTGCAGGAGGACAGAGCAGGGTGCTGAGACTGATTGCTGCTGCCACTACCACTAGCAATAGGAGAAGTAATGTGGGAGGGCAGTGGGGCTGCACTGCCCTCGCCTCCTCCTGCCACCAGGCACTTGCCCTCTACCCCGCCTCCATGGCCCAGCTGTCACCACCATCACTACTCCCCTAAGGCAGCAGCTCTACCCCAGAGGGGAAGTGGAGTGGTGGGCAGCATGGGTGGCCTGAGGGGAGCAGTGGTGGTGGTGGCGGCAGCTGGGCCATGGCAGCAGAGTAGAGCCACAGCCCAGCATGTAAGCAGCTGGTGGAGGAAGGAGGCAAGGGCAGCGCAGCCCCCCCGCCTCCCCCATCTGTTACTCCTCACAGCTGGCGTAGGGGTCCCAGTGGTGCTGGCAGCAATGAGTCTCACTGCCCCACTCTGCCTTCCCACACTGGGTCCTGCCTGCTGGGCCATGGAGGTAGCTCCTTTCCATGTCAGTACAGCCAGGCTGCAGCCCCATGCCTACTGTGGGTGCACAAATCTGGGGGGCACATGCCCCCTACCCACACACACCCTCTCTGTCCCACTGGGAAGCTGGGATCACGGGTTGGCAGTGAGGGGCACCAGCAGGGCCAGGGGGCTGTTTTCTATTTAAACTATTTATTGAATAGGGACTGGCCAGCAGCGTTCCCTCTAAGCTGTGTGGCATGCGCAGCCATGCAGGCGTGCCTGGCAGTGTGGCATGAGCGTGCCTGCATGGCCATGCACGCCACACAGCTTACAGGGAACGCTGCTGGCCATCGATGTCTACAAACAGGTCCTGGTACCAAAAAGGTTGAGAACCACTGCTTTAACACATTGTTCATTTGTAATTTTTCACTGAATCATGCAAGTGGCATATAAGAAACTTTCAAAACACAGAAAAGAATATGAAGGAAGCCAAGCAAGAACACAAGCACTGCTTGTTTGACTAGTAGGTTAGCAAATATTCCAGTGCTCCATTTCCCAAGCATCTAGTATCGTTCCAAACTCAAGAGGTAACAGCTCAGTGTTCAGCATTTGGGTTTTCATTGCTCTGCGAGTTCCCTTCTGAACCAAGGAGGGGTGATACATTACCTGTCTGCTTCACGGAACATATCCCTCTCCCTCTGAGAATGGATGTCCTGGATGATTGCCGCTACGTTCCTCCCTGGTTTCTAAGTAAATCAAAAAATCGCCTCTTTAGAATCCAGTGCATTTCCAAGCTGTTTTACAAGTAGCAGCCTTTCTCAAGTGATTTTCCTGCACTTTTAGTACACTGCTTGTGAAATAATATTCCGACTCCGTGTTCTCCTCCCAAACTTTTCTGAAGTACATAGTGCAATACCATGGTGACTGATGTACTAAAACTGCATAAGAAGAAAAGACTGATCTGTTATAATACAACACTAGTTTTGGATTATATTATGTTTTGAAAACAAGACTCTCTCTTTTCTGCTAGACATTCACTATAGAATATTTTCTAGGAATCTGCTTGAAAGAGGAAGCAACCGAAAACATGTTCCAATACAGGGATTAGATTGCTATGTCATGCATTCATTTGCGTCCTAAGAATGGATGGCCCTGGTATTTAATTTCACTGGTTAGCCCGTTTAGGAATATGGTCCTACAAAAGTGTTTGTAGACACAGGAGCTTCAAGTAAAGCTAAATGCAAGGAAAATTTGACAGTGGAATTTTGGCAATTTTAGGCACCTTGCCCCAAAATGTGATACACACTGACAGGGTTAAGTGCCTAAGCTTCCTATACAGAGAATAGGAACACTTATGTGCCTCTTAAGAATGGCCCACAGCACCTCACTGCCGAGCAATTGCTGAGCACCTGTTGCCAGCAATTGAAAATGAGTGGCAGAGAGGGATATTTGAACTCCCACTGCTCCTCAGAGCTTAGGTGTCAGAGACCAAGGGCTGTACGAGAGGCACTTCAGCCATGTCCAGTTCCAGATCGCTCAGGTGGATGTGCCTACTTGAACCAGAATGTACCGAACGACCGGCCAGCAGAAAGCACAGTGGTGATGCCCACCTTTTGGCCAACAGTGTCATGGTAAGAGCATTTGAGACTTGTGTTCGAGGCCCTCTTCACCCTGAGCAGATTTATCTTCCTCTTCCCTA